CGATGCAGGCAGTCAGTCTCAGCTAGCACGGATCCAACTTGTGCCACCCACACTCCCAGTCCTCGCACAGTCTTCGGATGCTGAGCGGCGAGCTGCTGGAGCGCAAGGGGTGGCCGTCGATCGTAGGCACGTGCCTTGGCTTCTTCATCTGCACACTAGTCAAAGGTGCGGCGGCGCGACCGGAAACCACAAGAAACTTCCTCTTAGACACATGGGACTTGACCTTCAGGACCTGGATGCCCCCTCCCCAGTCCTTGAGCTTCTCCCACACGAGCCTCCAGAGGTACGCCCAAGAAAAACCAGGAGCAGTGGCATGATCACGTCCCCACAGGTTGACCCCTTTGACGACAAGAGAAGAGTCCGAGTAGACCATGGCAGGTGGCATGGCGTGCATCAGCACGGAATACAGGGCGTAGAGCTCAGCACCGTCAATGTCCTGATGCGGTCCTGGCAAAACTCCTGTCAATATAGCGGAGACAGCATCGCCCTCAGGGCGAAACACACGCGAAGCCAGCAACAGGGTAGGTGGGCAGATCCTCATAGAGCGAGCCATCAATAAAGACATCACCAGTGAGGTTATGAGGGTCCCCTTCCCACCGTAGGTACGGCTGTTCAGCCCACTGCAGGAGATCAGACGGCACGCGAGGCTTGCCGAGGATCACCCGCTCGATGAGTATCTCATCAATTGTGCACGACATGCTGCGACAGGATCTGCACTCGCTCGGGGACAGGCGCAACCAGCTCAGGGATGTGCGAGCACCTGGCACGCCTGTGCACCAGAGCGCCGTCACCGCCCCGACAAACGAGGCACTCAGGCGAAGGGGCCCAACCCTGAGCATGCTGTCTGGCCTGCGTCCACTGGCCCCCGATCGCCACATACCTCAAATAGGCCCCCTCAGGGGCAGACAGAATACGCGAAAAACAAAGAGCACGCAGGGGCTCAAACCAGATACCTTCCAGAAGCCCTTGCGCCTCGAAGTGCTCGGACACTTTTCTCATCTGCCACGACGCGACCGCGCGCTCGACAAGGAATTCGACAGATCTGGGACACAGCTCCAGAGGGTTGATAACCTGGCCATTCGGGAAAACCCAAGCCCGAATGTTGCTGCAATCAATGCCCACGCGGTTGAGCGAGGCCCCCAGGGCCGAGAAGGGCCCCTTGATGGCCTGCCATGGTGAGCTGTGGGGCCCCAGCCTGGCAGCAGCAACAGCAATGCCCTTTCTCCAGCGTCCGCAGCGGCATGAGGTCCAGCCACGACTTCCTCGCCTCCATCACGAAGATCACCTCCGAGCTCAGCCAACGCCGCGAAGCCACCGAACGCAGCATTCACAGCGTCGCGCAGCGCACCAACGACCTCGAGAAGCAGAGTGTCGAACTCGAGACCGCCGTCGCCAAGCTTGAAACCATCGTCGCAGCCGCAGAAGCACGGGCACCCGCGCCCAAACCTCGACGGCCTCGGCGCGCGGGACAGAGACCCCGATCCGACGGCGCTCTGGCGCAGCAGCCCTCGGGAGTTCAACCAGCCCGAGCTCGGGCGCGCCCTCGCAGACTGGTTCGCCAAAGCCGAAGTCACCAAAGACATGGTCATCTTCAACGCCGTCGGCCCCGCCAAGCGTCACTCGTTCCAGGTCGGCGGCGGCGCCGTTGTGGCAGAACCGCGCGTTCAGCTTCTTCGCAGTTTTCTCTGCAACGGAAAATAATGACGTAGCTTTATTTTCGCTCTGGACAATGGTGTCCATGTTCCTCTATATGTATCAGCAGACAAAAGCCCGAAATCCGTTTGCACGGAAGTTCAAATCAAACGCCTCGCCAAAATCGCGCAGAACACCATGCCCGAGATCGGCCTCCGCGCGCGCCGGACTCTTGGGTGCATCGCTACTCGTGGTGGCGCTCTGGTTCGCCTGCTCATCGGTGACCGCGCCGATGCGCCCGCCGGGCTTCAATGGTCCAACGCCGCCGTGGACCGCGGCTTCACCGAAGCCAAACAGCAGCAGATCAACGCCGAGTTGGCCTCCAACTTCGCGGACGCCCTCACGGCAGCGCAGTGGTTTTAGCCACCGCTGGAGCCCATGGTTCCTGCAACCTTCTCAGGAGGGCCTCAGTGTCGCTTTCTGGAACGCCCGAGCTCTCCTGGGACAATCAGACCATCGCCGCGGAGATAAACGTCGAATGCTTTTACCTTATCTTCGCCAACGCGCTCTTCTCGCTGTTCAAGAAACTCATGATCCATTAGACGACCTCGCTCTTCTGGCCAAGTCGATCCAGCACCCGTACAAGCCGTTCCACTCGCCCGTGATGGTCAACGATGTGCCCGTCTCCAACGCTGGCGGCATCGGCTTCCTCGTCCCGCACGACAAGAGAGAACGTCAGCTGCCGCCTGAACAACGGCCTCTAGTCCAGTTCGAGGACGCCATCCATGGCCGCGCCGCTCGGCTGCGCGTCACGGATGCCAGCCTCCAGTTCGAAGTCACCATCCTCAACATCCACATCTGCGGCCTC